AGCATTTGCAATGGTCGGCAATCCCAACGACCAGCTGGAGGCTCAACATCTCGTTTATATCACGGTCGGATGTTTGGCAGTGAGTCCTCAAGCTCTCTCGAAATGTTATGCTCACGTTCATGCTCTACAAGGTGCTTTTATGGGATACGGTCACCAATCTACGCATGGACTATCTTCGACTATCATCAGCTCGGTTATCAGTTCCAACTATTTCATTCCTTCTGATAAGGTGAGCCGAGCCTTGGACTAGCATGACCGGTATCAAACTGGGACTTACCACAACGCAAAGACTAAGTACTATCGGCCTCGTCCTTTCCGAAGTCATACTCCTTAGTCAGTGACCGTTATCATGCGAGATTTCAAGGAGCTGACTCTGTATTAATACTAGCTGCCCCCGTGTCGGAGTGCGATGTCCTTGGTCAATTCGTCACCTATACTATTGCAGTATATGGCTCTTCCCTTCATTTACTTCTTTTCTGTCGCCTCCGAGCGATCTATCTGGACAGTCCTTGGACAGTCAGAGCATTCTTCGTACTCTGGTTGCTCCTAATCGGCCTCCATTTTGGCTTGGCTCCCTTAGTCGCCAGGACAGGCCACATCCCAGGCTCTTCCCACTGCCGATACACTTCAATTCATGTGGAATATGGCATAGCTCTAGTGGTTGCTGTCACCTTCAACGGCAATGCAATATCTATAGCAGTCTCCTATCGTCTTCTGACCATGTTCAGCTACGGAGAGACCATGTCCGACCTCCAGCCCCAGCCACCGAAATACTCGAAATTCAAAAGGATTTGACATTACTTATCCGGAGCGAACCTTCCCAGATTTTCAAAGGCATTGTACGAAGACGGGCAGTTTCACTACTTGTGAGTACCATATCTGACCCTTTCTCGATGTTTCGGAAGGGAAACGACTGATACCTGATTGTTCAGTGTAATGAATACTGCCAACGTCGGGCTCCTCATCGCCCTAACCATAAATCAAATACCAGTGTTATATCGAGCCGGGTGCTTGTTCCTTCAAGTTGTCGTGAACAGTTGCACGGTATGCTACGTTTATCGTAGCATTGGGTCGGCGAGGTATACCTCTGAAGGGCCCTCAAACTTCTCATCCATCAGGTTTTTCAGTCGCCGTACAGAAGCGGACAAACCCCAACTGGAAGAAGCAGAGGTCTGAAGACTATCGGAATACGATCATCAGTTATACCTTCTAGGTCATATAAGTATTATACTCGATATACCCTTCCATTCGACGCTAATAGCGCGGCCAATCAACACGACTTTCACATCCTCAATCTTGTCAGTATTGAACGGTGCTTCCCGCCGGTTCAGAATCGAGGAGTTTGGTATCTACACTCATTGTTATCAGTGTGTGCCAATAGTACTCCTTCAGTGTATCTCCACAAGCGCACAAAACAGCGCACAAAACATCTTCGGTGACATTGAAAGCTCCTTCGCGACGAGATGGTGTAGAGTAAGAGTATTCTCAGCGCGCCGGTATAGAGTTTTGTGAATGGGCTGCTGGTAGCGGCGAATGAAGAAGGCAGATAGTAATTGTGAGGCGAGATACTGGCTGCAGGCTGAGTGGGCTTCGGTAAAGAACGTCCTCAAAATTTTAGTTGTACTCGGCTGGTGAGATATCTCGAGTGAAATGTACGGACGGTGTTTTCCTCTGTCTGATCCAGAAGTCGCTTGGCTTGCCGCGCCTTCGAAGCCACGTGCATTGTCGGTCAAGGGAGGAGTCACTGAGCTACGGCGCAAATGAACTTACTTTCACAACCTTATCTCCTCCAACGCAAATACCACCACCTATGCCGGGAAGCGTCTCTATCTTCTTCTTCAAGACCTGCCAGTTTCCCGGCCCACTTTATGTCGCCCAAAAACGAGGCTTCAAGGTTGTGTCGACGCGCTATGGAAGATGAGATTTGGCGTCACTGTCGAGCACTGTTTGAGAGAAGCTTCAGGTTAGCAAAAAAACACTCACCACGAGAGCACTTTGCCACCCTGGTCCCCTTCATATAAAGCTTGTGCTGTCTAGCATCGAGAAGCCAGAAATGGGTCAATTGAGTGGTAGGGATTGAAAGTCTAAATTAAGTTTGTCGATCGACGATGACGCGCCTTGCTCCGTTCTAACCCTAAGAACTCTCCATTACAAACACTATGCTTGAGTGTTGAAGGGTATAAAGGGAGAAGTCGAGTGGTGATGGTGGTGGTGGGGATGTAAAATGATGTCATACGCATCACGATGACAAAGAGGTCATGATGGGTTCTGAGTCGAACCTCGTCGAACCAAATTCTTCGAAATCACCCACTCCTCCAGCATAATTGGACGACTTTCCCTCCGTACGTAGAAGCGTTGTTATTGCGACAGATTTCAGCCATGAGGAGCTCCCACAATGTGAATAACTCCCCCCCTCCCCCCTCTCAAATGAATGACACAGGTCTCAAAAGTTCAAACGTTCATATCCTACAAAAAATCTCCAAGTTCCAGTGTACGGAGGCTAAAGCATGACAATAGCGAAGACTAACCAGAAGCCTGTTATAGGTGATATGGCCATAGCAAGATGATACGATATTCTCGGTTCACGACTAATGATCCACAACATGTACTTCGACCGACCGACCAAGATTCTCCAAAAGCTCTTCGATCTCCTTTCCAAACTCTCGATAGTATCGAACCCGCAGAACCTTCAGCTCAGGCAGAAAGGCCGCTGCGTCGATAGCGTCCCTTTTGAGTCTCTGAAAGAAAAGACTGGTGAAAATCGTGGGCTCCGCAAGGGTTGCCATTTCATATCCAGCCCACTCCCCTATCTTGAGCTCCCAAACACCCGGAATCTTCTCTATCACCTCTAGGACCTGCCGGTCTACCATCTTGAATCCCACGAGAACGAAAACTCGGAGCTGAGTGGATAGACTTGAACGATATATGAAATCTCGGAACGTCACTGCCACCGCATGTGGCTGCCCCTGCTTCGCGGTGAAGTCCGGATGAGAAATAGCTCGCGAACGTAGGACCAAAGATGTTAGCGATGGACATTCCAAACGCTCGAATATTTCCATCTGGACGGTATTCCATGGATGCGAATCAATGCATGGCCCAATGTCGTCTAAAACATGGATCGTGAGCTCTCTTAGACACTCGAAGGTTGTCGTTTTTGGTTGGATTTCGGAAGGTGTGTGGTGTGGGTAGGATGCCCTCGACGTAATCGGGGGGACCTCCAGGGTAAGCGATAGGAGGTTCTGCCTGAGATGTGCCAACACTTCCAGAGTAAGACCAATATCCATCGTACATATCTGCAGATGAGTGAGTTGCGTATGGAGGAGCAGATGCCGATGAGCGGCTGGGATGGTAGAGAAGCCTGAATTTTGACTTGGTAGAATCAATGTTCGAGCCCGAAACACAGGGAGCGGATGGCTCTTCGGGAATAGCGGATGGATATACGATTTTGTGGGAAGATGATGTTGAAGGTGCTGGGGGACATTGGCATTGGCTAGAACGTTTTCCTCCTGGTCCTCGGGAAAAAAGCGATCCTCTACATCAAACTCCAAGAATTCAACACTCTCGAGGCGATGCAAAAACCCACTGTCCTTGATTGAAAACTCTTTTCCATCCATGTGTCGAACGGTCGCACTGTACCACGGGCGGCTAACCAACAGATTGACAAGTCCGAACTGCTCCATCCAAGCTTCATCTCCAACTAAGAATCGGTGAAACTCAATCACAACCGACAACGGCACGCTCCCAGACCGCTTGAGCGACGCCTCAAGATAGTCCCTGGCTTTTACAAATCGACGATCCTCCAAGGGTTTCCGGGGGAGATACAGAGTTATTCGTGCCCAAATACGGGGTGAAGAAAGTACTGCGACGCGCCATTGGGTGCAAACAAACGATAACGAGACTGCTCCCAATTTTCGTGCACAAGGTTGACCCAGTACGACGTTGGTTTCCACAGCCCAAGAGAATATCTCACAGAGAACATCTGTTGGTAGTTTTGCAGCGGTTGGCTGTTACGAAGTACTGAGTTCTGGCTGCGTAGCTGGTTGAATGCTGATTTGTACAGACTTCGGATAAACAAAAGAACAAAGCACTCACCAACTTCATAGGAATCTCCTACCATCTCAGTCCCCTCTATACAGAGATTTGAACCGTCTACCATCAAGTCGAGTCGTGGTTGAGATGAAGGTTTGAAACGTAATGTTCGCTGCGTCTTGATTTGACCCTAACCCTGAAGCCGCCTGCTAAGGAACTTGTTGCAATTAAGCGCGCGCCTTACCCACCTACATCAACCTCCAGCTCGAGACCTGTAAACTTCGACCGGTACCTAATAAAGTCACCGAGCTACCCCGAGAACCTGCCATATACTTGTTCCGAGATCACATTTCTCGCTCTCCTCGCTGTTGGCAACTGCTGTATCCAAAAGTGTCCGACACGAACTACGAATAAGGATGAGACAATACTCTCCTCGAGTCCGTACACATTAACACCACTGTATTCACGTCATTGAAGGAGCACGGATCAGTACAATCCGCTCAAATATCTTTATCTCACATTCCAGCGTTGTCGTACCCCGGCTCTGACTCTGAGCTCGAAAGTGTTAGCCCTGAAATAATACCAAGCCATAACTGAGCCGATATTTCAACATCCTTCGACCTGTGTAAACGTCCAACAAAGAGGGAAGTTGGTCCTACATCACTCTGCTCATTATTACCGTCATACATATCGGTGTCCCCCAAGGCGAACGAGTTGGCTCCCCTCCGGCTTCAGCGACATATGTAGATAGCTCTCGGGATCAGTACATCATTGGTATCCGGACGAGAGGAGGGTATCGTGCACGCCGCTATAAACCGCACATTGCGGATCTATGTAGTTGTGGAGAGGCTCGAGTAAAAAGAGAAGCCGAACTATCAACGTTGAACTGCGTCGAAAAAGTAGCTCTTTTCATTTTCAATATATGTCAAATCTTCAGGCCTCCTTTACCAGTTTCTTTGAAAAATATTGTGTGCATTAAGAGGGAATCGAACCCCCGGCGGGTCGAGACTAGTCATAGCTAAGCCCTGTATGGCAACGACCCAGGTTACCACTACCCCATTAATGCTTCAAATACCTGAGCACATTGGGGAATATGTTGATGGTTTCACGGTCTTGATACACTGATATTGTTGAAGGCTAGAATGAGCCAGGCAATGTGGATATGGTTCAGAAGAAAGAGGATACTTTTGGGCATAAAAATTACAAACATTTTCATCACCACGGCCAGGCCTAAATGCTCACGGGGAAATTTTCATAGTCCGAGCCTATCACCGTTGAATAGCTATACATATCATTCCACTGAATCAATGAGATGTGTCGCAAGGCTCATCATCGAGAGTGCTTTCCAGATACTTTGACTAAACCTCTAAAACATTGATACCAATCGATAGCACTGTCACGCGGGAACGTAGAAATTAAACGAGAAGTCTGGGAAATTGGGAGTTTTGAATGGAGTGGCGCCGCAGCGAAAGAGGATGCCGCCTGCTGTCCAACACGTCGGCATGAAGGATTTGTGAATGCAACAAAAGATGAATGCGAGACCAAGAAATGTCGGTTATGGCGCCTGGTGAATAACAATGAGGGTACATGGGAATAAGTATTGAGTCCTCCGTGTATGTCGCAACCTCGAAGAGCGCTGTGTATATCCTCGGGCCCCAAGTTGAAGCCTGAGCTACTGAGTGACGATAAAATGAACGTGCCTTCGTCTTCTTCGAGAGTTTCACCCTTCTCATTGTTCCAAAGTTTTTGAATGCCCTAGATTTCCAGCTGAGAAGCCCACATTCCCAGAAGCAGGTCTCATCGGCGTTAGCGTTTGGTATCCATCATTGAGTCGAAGAATACAACTTTGGCTGCGTGTAGATGAAACGGTGATTGTTGGTCGAACGGATCATGGCATTAACATTGACGGCTTTCTCGAGCAAAAAGGCCCCTCCGTTTGGAGTACTTGCCGATCGTACAATACAGTGCGATTGGAAAAATTCGACTCAGAGGCGAATCAATTTAGGGCCTGACCGGGAATTGAACCCGGGACCTCCTCGAATAGGACATACCTCTTTGTCCAACCACCCTAACAAGGAATCATACTACTAGACCATCAGGCCGATGTAGGAGGAAGAGCTAGTGTATATATATTGCGGTAGCTCTACAGGTAATTGTTTTTGGTGCATACTGACTCGAGTTTATGACAATAACTAACTCGAATGTCGTTGGCTAGCTAGTGAAACATCGAAACCGAGCATGGCGTAGCTTTACATACTCTTCTCGCGGTAAGCTGAGGGCCTGTCGGACAACGCGGTCCGAGCGGTAAAGTTTTCCGGCTCAAAAAATTACGCTATTGAAACGGATCCCACTCTCTAACCACCATGTCCTCCACATAACAACACCACTCCATCCACTCTTTTCAAGATCTACAGCTCGTTGCACTCAACGTAATACCAAAATCACGTCATTCACCACAGCCCATCTTCCGAGAACTCTCAATCCGTGGCCTCTTCGCCTAGGCCCTGTTCCCTCATAAAACCACCAAGCCCACAAACTGACCAAAACTACCAACGCGCACTTCACATAGGGATCGTCATTCTATTCTATTGACGAGATCCTGGTTTTCGTATTCTACAAGCCAAAACCGGATGCTTGATATCGGGTTTCACAGCACCATCGTGCCTTTCCCCGGAGGTATAGGATAAGAGCAATTTGAATCTGTACGTGGAGATGGGTTGCTGCAGGGAAGTTGTCAAGAGTATTTTGAGTATTTTTGGGCAGAGAAGAAGAAGCAGGATCCGTGGCAAAGGCATCTTACTCCCCACCCGACGAATGCAGCCATACAGATGAGGATGAGGATAGTTTGAACGACACGGCTTTTTGGAATCATCGAATGAACGGGATTGTCGAGCTTTCACTCAAGTACGTCTCTCAGTCGTACCTTCATTTCTATTCCCATACTGACGTCCAGTCGTTATCATGAAAATCATCACTCACGCATACATTATCTCACCCCACCCAAAACCAATCTTCATCGACCAAGTAGGCTACCGCGTCAATCTCACGGTAGCTCTCCACAAATACGCCCATGAAGATCATTGACAACCTTGACAAGCTTCCAACGTTTCCCCGATGGATAGATTCTACTGAAACGTCCGGTCAGTAAAAGGTGGAACCATGACACTATCGACGCTGAATTGTTCCAACTCAACTCAATGACGCATGAAACGATTTGGAGGGATGCGTTGCAGCAGGAGTATCTTATACGGGGCCGTGGAGACTACGCTGAATTCATTGACAGCTAGGGATACAGGGAGGAAGAATGGTACGCTCTCCCGTTGTTTTTTACCCTTTCTTTCCTTTGCTCACCCAGCCTCGATAACAAATTGGTTGTACAACATATACCATACACTCAGACACTCAAATGTCTAGTTTACACACGGACGTCAGAACGCCGAAGAACTGGTGGTGCCAGCATTTTGGCGAGCGAGTGCACGATTCCCTTCTCCCACGCACACACCTTACCTTTTACCTACCGTGTTCGCTGCGAGAATGTTCAATCGTTATCAAGTTGAAGGCACATTGAAGGTAGATCTCCTCCCTACTTCTTTAATCTCCAGCCTAACTTCCGCTGAAACGTTCTGGGTCACATTTTCGTTCGCATAAAACAAGCGAGGAGTGGTTTGGACGAACTCTAGGATGATCCCGAAAGGATACATTGGCAGGTGGAATCACGTACGGAGGTCTGCTAGATTTTGCGGATCCGTCGGTTGCGCTTGGGTTGAGAGAGCTCAAGAGATGTGATTCCTGTTCTTCTCATTGGTGAGCTGAGGATCTATGAGAAAGAACCCTAAATTGATGTCCTTCCAATGGCGTGCTCAAATAGTTATACACCTCGAGAAAACAACCTGGTCTTGGGGGCGAATAAGAACTTCTCGACGCTCGTTTCATGGTCGTTTCTCTCTGAGAGAGGCGGGGCCGAGGCGATGATAGGCTGGTCAGGTGTCACTGTAATCGAAGGAGTACGCAGATTGCTTTATATTTTTCTATTCCAAACATAGTTGGCCATAGCCGATATCGTGCCCCATGGTTGAGTTGGCTACCGTGTCCGACTCTTATGCACCCGTTTTCTCGGGGTGTACACTGACAGTAGCAATTTGGAAGGTCATGAGACCGAGCCTCACACGGGTAGTGTAGAGAGCGGGCATCGAATCTTTCTCTGTGAGCGCCCGAGAGGTTGAAATTCAACCTCGTGTTTCAACTTAAGATTGCGGTATTTTCAACCTGCTGATACCTGAAGTTCAACCTACACAGGTTGAAATTACGTCTATTCTGGCCCAGGTTGAATTCTAACCTATAAGGGCCCAATTCAACCTACGCTTTTTTGGACCGGTCGGAAGCGCAGCAAGGTTGATAGTCATGCAATAGTAGGTTGATTTTCAGGTATGTGTACATACAAGTTTGCCCGTACAAATGCTTCATTTTCGGTTCATTTTTCGGTTCATTTCGTTAGGTTACTTTTCACGATGTAATAGCAATTGAGGGGGGTTTTGAATTAGCGAGATTTGAGATTGTATGGTACATTCAAGAAAGAAGATTGCGGTGTATCTATGGAAAGACTGGATAGGAGGGTACAATCATAATATTTAGGCATCCGGAGCACTAACAAGTCCGAATGCTCAACGCCGATGTTGAACGACGTTGGGTCCTGTTATGCCGTGATGATCAGCTGGCAGATTCAATTGATGCAACGAGGCGGCTTACCGTGGCTATCTCTTGAGCATTGACCACCACCTAACCCTCCTCCTCGTCATTGTCTGCACCCGCGCCGTTGTTTTCCTCGTCGTCGTCGTCTCCTCCTCTGTCCCGTGACGAGCCCTCAATGAACTCGGGTTGGTCGTTCTGCTGCCTGCGCTTGCTCTGCTTCTTCGCTGCCTTCTTCGCTTTTTTTGCTTCGTAAACCCGGGTAGCCCGCTTCTTGCGAGAACCGGGAGCGTTCCCTCGCTTGGCTGCGTTGTTCGCCAAATACTGGTACTTGGGATTGGGTTTGAGCACTCCGTTTCGGTACGCATAGCTCCGCTTGTTGGCCATCCACTGTTTGATGATTGCTTTGGTTGCCCAGTGATTGTTGAACTGTGCTAGAAATGGCATCCTTTCCGCAGCCTAATGCCGTGTGAATGGTGTGTTAGCTTGCTAAACGGCATAAACTTTCGCTAAAACATACCACTTCGCAGACTCTTTCGAGTTGACCGCCCGGAACATCACGCCATTCAACATGCCAAGGTATGTTTCCTTGTAGGGCAAGATCACGAATATTACGCTGAATGCGACAGTGGTGAGTACTCCTCATTATAGCGTAATGGGTTTGCTCACCGTGAATGTATTGTACTTCAGCCTTTTTGCCGTCGAGCCGGCAAGTCCCATCTCAACAGAAATAGACCATTTTGAACCTTTTGGGCGAGGATTGCCAGGTTGGTTGTTGCCATCGGTACTTGGAGAGCTGCTAGAACCGTTGGAGCCTGCTGCGAGGGCAGTAGTGCCGGGGGTACCTGACCAGTCACACCAAAAAGACCAACTTTTCCCCTGAGCGGAATGATAACCAGATAGAGGAACAAAAACTGTACCTATTTGTACTCCAGATTTAAGTCCAGGCAGTCCATGTGTCAGAAATCCAGAAATTCGTGCGAATAGCGTATCTATTTGGAACTATTTCCGTGAGTACGATATGGGTACAACTAGAATACAAATATGTAGTACTGAAATAATGACAAAAAGACATTGTATCTGGATATCCGGGAAAATGTATTGTCGGGATGTCCGAAAGACGCCCCGAAAGGAAGTGAATCCGGAGTTTGGATATATGTGCGGATGTGGGTCCAAATAGAAGACCTATCCGGGCTCCGGATATATGTCCAGATTCTTCATGTTTCTGGTCTACGGATACGACGCAGCTGCGTCGTCCTACTGACGCGCTCGCGTCGGCGAGGCGTCTTTGCAATCGCGCACCTGTAGTGACGATGCGTCACTCATTGTCACGACCAATGTACGCAAGCGCCTTGCGTTCTCTTGCGTTGACTATTTCTATCGTCTGCGCAATCGACAAACGCGCAACAACTACAAAGATCCAGCTCCAGCATCGACCATAGCCAGAAACAAGTCTTGAAAGCACTCAAACGGCAAGTCGTCTTCGAGCATCAGCAGCTGTGTAGAAGGAGTGATTCCATTTCAATTATCATGGCTAAATTACCACCTACCAGAAGCCTACGAACGAAGAAATAGAGTGGAAGCATAGAGGCAGAGGGGCAAGCGGCAGGTTATCAGGGCAGAGGTATGTGCATAACGATGGCATTATCTCGTGCTTTTCTGGGAACCGTTAATAACCTCCGCCATTCTCCGTCAGCGAAATCCAGGAGAGGAAAAGGAAAAATCTGTTGACAGATGAATCAGAACTGAACTTCGATACCCTCGTGCACACAAGAATCCATACCCTAAGTCCAAGTATCGAGGAAGAGGCCAACACCACAACGATTCGGATATGTCTCTTGCGCACATGTTCCCCCAACCGATATCCAGCACATCGCCGATGTTTGTGGGCTACTTCTCAGCAAACATTCCGGAAGAATTCGTACCGCAGCGCCAACTTGATATTCGGGTTGAAGAACGTCAGTATCCATCTTGATGGGTGCACGAAATCCGTCTAATCGTCATGATAGGTGGCCAGCGCGACCGTAAACAGAAACAACACGACAATCTATTGGAGAAGTCGAGTGGCGCAGGGTGTATTCGGACTGGGCCGATGTTTATTGGTTGTTTTTCGACGAATCCATCCTACACGTTTGAGTCCTGTTGTGAACTTGAACGCTTTGAAGAACCGAGTCAGTGTCCGTTTTTGACGAAAGTTTGGTTCACTTACCTTTGTATCTCCAGTGCTCGAGCACGAAATCGAGCGGCAAAAGGTGGCTGAAAGATGTTTGAGACGCGCCGACCGCTCGGGATTCGTTTATTGCTTCAGAATCAGAGGCGATGCGCCATACGATTCGGAGGGGACTGGTTACTACAAGATCGGCTGAACGGGCGACGTGGAGGGAAGGAAGAGACAGTGGAGATATCAGTGTCCGAG